TAGAAAGTCCCAAATAATCCACAACAAAGCTCCTAAAGATCATAAATGAATTGAGCAAAGTTGTAGGGTGTAATATCAACATACAAAAATCGCTTGTATTTCTGTACACCTGCAAAGAATAGGCTGAAAAGAAAATTAATAAAGAAGTTCTATTTATAGTAGTATATAGGGCAGCCCGGGTGGCTCAGTGGTTTAGCACTGCCTTCAGCCCAGGGTGTGGTCCTGGAGACTCTAGATTGAGACCCACGTCAGGCTCCCTGCTTGGAATGGAGACTGCTACTCCCTCTGCCTGTGTCTGTGCCTCTCTCTCTCTCTCTCTCTCTCTCTCTCTCTCTCTCTGTCTCTCATGAATAAATAAAATCTTTAAAAATATATATAGTAGTATGTAAAAATAAACAGGAATAACTTGATGAAGGAAATAAAAGATTTATATGCTAAAAACTACAACATATTTCTGAAAGAAGAAAGAAGTCCTATGTTCATGGGTAGGAAGATTTAATCTTGTTAAGATATCAATGTTACCCAAACCTATCTATGGAGATTCACTGCAATTTCTATCAAAATTCTAAGAGCGTGGGGATCCCTGGGTGGTGCAGCGGTTTGGTGCCTGCCTTTGGCTCAGGGCGCGATCCTGGAGACCCGGGATCGAATCCCATATCGGGTTCCCGGTGCATGGAGCCTGCTTCTCCCTCTGCCTATGTCTCTGCCTCTCTCTCTCTCTCTCTCTCTGTCACTATCATAAATAAATAAAAATTTAAAAAAAAATTCTAACAGCGTTTTTGAAGAGATGGAAAAACCAATATTCAAGATTTTATGGAATTCCACTGATAACAGTCTTGAAAAAGAAGAGCAAATTTGTTGGATCCCTTCTCAATTTCAAAAGTTACTACAAAGCCACTGTAATCAAAACAGTGTGGTGCTGGATTAGACATATACAAGTTGACCAATGGAATATAATTGAGAGTCTAGAAATAAACCTGTGCATCTGTGGCCATTTGATTTTTGACAAGGGTGCCGGTTCTTTTCAATGTGGGAAGAATAGTATCTTCAACAAATAGACCTGGGATGACTGAATTTTCCCATGCAAAAGAATGAATTTGGACCTCTGCTTCATGCTACATAGAAAAATTACCTCAAGTTAGGCAATGACTTAAATATTATAGTTAAAATCATAAAAATCTTAGAAGAAAACATAAGGGAAAATCTTAATAACTTTCATTTTGACAATGCATTCTTAGATATGACATCAAAATATAGGCAACAACAAAATAAATTGGGCTTCATTAAAACTGAAAACATTTATGCATCAAAGGACATTATCAAGAAAATGAAAAGACAACCGACAGATTGGGAGAAAATATTTACAAATTTTGTATCTGATAAGGGCTTAATATTCAGATTATACAAGGAACTTCTATGATTGAACAACAAATATTTTTTAAAATGGTAGAGGTAGAGAGACTAGATGTTTCTCTAAAGAAGATACACAAATGGCCAATAAGAATGTGAAAAAAATGTTCAACATAATCAGTTGTTAGGGGAATGCAAATAAAAATCACAATGAGATAACACTTTATGCCCACAAGATTGGCAATAGTAATAATAATAATAATGACTGTTGGTGAGGATGTAGAGAAATTGGCACCCTCATACATCACTGTGAGAATGTCCAGTAGTGAAGCTGTTGTAGGAATCAGTTTGCTGGCTCCTCAAAAAGCTAAACATAGATTTACCATGTGACTCAGAAATTTTTAGTTACACCCAATAAAAAAGAAAATGGTATTAGTAACAATAGCCAAAAAGTAGAAACAAGGACAATGTCCCTAGATAATGGATAAGCAAAATATGATATGCACAATGGAATATTTTTTAGCCATAGAAAGGAATGAAATTCTGATACATGCTACACCATGAATGAACCTTGAAAACATTGTGTTAAATGAAATAAGCCAGACACAAAAGGAAAAATACTGTATGATTCCACTTGTATGAAATGAATAGACAAATTCATAGAGACAAAACCTATATTAGATGTTACCAGAGGCTGAAGGAAACAGAAGATAAATTATTAATGTTTAGTGGTTATAGAGTTTCTGTTTGGGCTGATGAAACACTTTGAGAAGTAGACAGTGGTGATAATTGCACAACATTGTGATTATAATTAACACGATATAAGTGTATACTTAAGAGTGATTAAAATGGGGGCACCTGGATGGCTCAGTGGTTAAGCGTCTGCCTTTTGGCTCAGGTCATGATCCTGGGGTTCTGGGATCAAGTCCCACATCATGCTCATCATGCAGGAAGTCTGCTTCTTCCTCTGCCTATGTCTCTGCCTCTCTCTGTGTCTCTCATGAATAAATAAATAAAATCTTAAAAAAAAGAGTGATTAAAATGGCATATTTTGCAGTGTGTAAATTTTTCACAATAAAAAAATTTTAGTGACCCAAAATTTTGAGCAGGTATTTCACCAAAGATATAAGAATGGCCACTAAGCACATAACCAGATGTTCAATATCATTAGCACATAAATGCAAAAAAAAAAAACCCCAAATTTGAAATCACTTCTTTTTTTTTAAAGATTTTATTTTTATATTCATGAGACACACACAGAGAGAGGCAGAGACCCAGGCAGACAGAGAAGCAGGCCCCATGCAGGGAGCCGACATGGGACTCGATTCTGGGTCTCCAGGATCAGGCCCTGGGCTGAAGGCGGCGGTGCTAAACCGCTGAGCCACCTGGGCTGCCCTGAAATCATTTCAAACCATTTCAAACCAACTAAGAGTCTGACAAGACCAATGACAGGGATGAGGAGGTATTGAAATTTCCACCCAGTGTTGGTGGGAGTGTGGAAGAGGTACAACAATTTTGGGGAATGGTTTCCAGTTTCTTACAATATTAATGGTATATATCTGTCTTACAATTTAGCAATTCCACTCTGATAAATATATTTGAGAGAAAGGAAAGCTAATCTCTACAATATGACTTTTGCAAGAATATTTTATGTGGCTTTATTCATAATAGTCAAAACCTGGAAACAACTTGAATGTCCATCAAGAGGAGAATAAACTTATGTTCATCGTGTAATACTACTTATCAATTGAACGAATAAACAACTGATATACACAAGATACGATTAAATCTCTTAGACATGGTTCTGAGTTAAAAAAAAAAAAACAGAGATAATGGTATACATTGTATGATCCCAATATGTGGAGTTCTAGAAGAGATAAAACAAACCTTTGTTTAGTCAGAAAGTAATTCCTTTTGGGAGAGCTTTGGCTACAAAGGATTGTTAGTAAACTTACTGGAATCATGGAGATACTCTATACTTCTCTTGGTAATTATATGGATGCCTTTGATTATTATTAAAACTTATTAAACTGGGAAATTAGGATATATTGTGAGTAAATCATATCACTATAAAAAATAAAAAGAAATGAAAAATAAATAAAATTAGCCTTGTGAATTTATATGTAAACTTTATTTTTTATTTTTTTTTATTTTTTAAAGATTTTATTTATTTATTCATTAAAGACAGAGAGAGAGAAAGAGAGAGAGAGAAAGACAGGCTCCATGCAGGGAGCCTGATGTGGGACTTGATCCTAGGACCCCGGGATCATACCCTGAGCCAAAGTCAGACACTCAACCGCTGAGCCACCCAGGCATCCCAGTATGTAAGCTTTAATAACAGAGAATGTGACTTTTAATTTTTTGAAGGTGCTCAGGGACATGGTTTGAAGTATTAGCATCATAGATTATTATTACTTGCTGCAAGTGGACTATATATAAATTATATTTTCACCAGCAGGCTCATTATATTCAGTTTTGATTTTTTTAATTAATGTGAAAATCATCAGAATATCTTTCATATAACATGATTCCTCATTTATATATGCCAACAAAGTGCTGATTATTGTTTTAAATTCTCCTTGACATTTTTATAGTTTGTAGGAAAGATCATGGTAAAAAAGGAAAAGTTGAGGAAAATATTCATTTATCTTTCTTAAAAAAAATCTGTGTTGGGTCCTTGCCTCTTTTGGTGATGTGGTTTAGTTGCCAAGTAGAAAGGATTCAGAGTTGGGGTTATCTGTTCTGCTCTACTGCTAATTTGTTGGGTAATGAAGCAAGTAAGACAATCTCTTATCCAATATCATTACCTCCAGCTTCTTTGGAATTGAAGCTAGATGCTCTCCAAGAGTCACAACTCTAGCTTGCAAAACCTAAAGGACTTATTTAGGAGTACTTTTACTTCTGCCCCAGGATTAGGGAATAAATTTTTGCAAATAATTATTGATGTCCATGTGTCTAAACCCTTATCAGACAGTATAAGCTGCCAAAAGTCTATAAGTAATTTTTATGCTAGATTGCAGTCCTCAGGAAATTACAATCTAACCTGGAGTGGATGTGTGATGTGATGGTGAGCAAGATGAAGTGGGGAAGCAAGATTTACAAATAGGAAGCAATTAAAAGACAAGGCAGAACTGCATTTAATTAGATAAAACATGTTATCTAGATAATAAAGTGCTATGGCTGATGAGGAAGAAGGGGGAGAGATCATTGAGAGTTACAAATAAAATGTTTTCTTCCTTAATAAGAACAGTGTTTTAGTGTTAGGGCTGGGGTAAAGGGGGCACCATAGTATCTTTGCATATGCCCAGTCTATTAAAAAAAAAAAAAAACTGAATCCCTGGGCCTGCATCATTTTTACCTAGCTGATTTTTTTTTTTCTGATTTCTTATAATAGTTTTGTTCTCACTTAGTGAGGAAAGTCACTTAGGTTAATGAGTTACTTCAGATTATAAAACTCATAAGGGTAAAATGGGATTTTAATATAGGTCTGCTGGTTGCAAAATTTTAACAAGTTATATACTATCTTTGGAACCCTCTGAACTCAAATGTCTGAGGTCTATGGTATTTAGAACTCCCAGTGATAATCCAAAAATAGCACCAAGAAACTTCAAGGGACATGTGATTATCAGGAGCCCTGCAAGAATACAAGGCCAGCATGCTGCTCTCTTTATGGGAAGCCTACGGCTGTGCTGGTTTCAAGGTAAGTGATGGAGAAGACTCTCTCTCTTTCTCCCTGTAATCTCTAAGGAATTTTAGGAAGTTGGAATTTTAGGAAGTTAGTGGTAATCTGATACACTCTTTGGGTCGCAGAGCCTAGAGAAAATTCACATTGTGTACTTATTGAAATTATCCTGGCAGGGCCTAAAGATGATAAGCTCTGCTCTGATATATGCCAAACCATCAAATTATATTTAAATTAGTGTTTTTTGAGCACCTACTATATATTCCCATAGTGCCTTGTAGTGTTGTCTGGAACAACACTAATTCAATGGTATGCTGAAGGTAACTTGTACAATCTCCTAAGAATCAATTGTTAAATTTTCAGGAGTTTTGTTAGCTGGCTAAATAGTCATGTGAAAAATTAAATTATATAAACTTACCTTTGAATAAGTTAAAAGAGCACTCAAAAATCATTATTCCCTAATTTTTATGCATTTTACTGTTGTCTTTGTTCTTGAATATCATTTGTATCTATTGAATCTCTAGAGTGGAAGTAATCACGTGCTACTGCATGTAGTTTTCTAACTTTGCCTTGAGTGGAATTACCTTTATAGTCTGAAATCAGCCATGCCAGGAGTACTTACACCATGGAAATAGGCAAATACTGCAGTTCAGGGTGTGATTTATTGTTTGTTGGTTGTCTAGTTTTAAGAATGTTACACAGAAAATATCTATAGTACAGATTAAACTTGAAATTCTGTCATGTCTAGGGTGTGTGGGTTGCTTAGTCCATAAGCGTCTGCCTTTGGCTCAGATCATGATCTAGATAATAGGTTCTAGATAATAGGGTCCTCTGCTCAGCCGGGAGTTTGCTTCTCCGTCTCCACCTGTGCTCACTCCCTCTTTCTCTCCCTCCCTCTCTCTCAAATAAATAAAATCTTTTTTAAAAAGTATGTAACGTCTATAACTGTAACATTGTATATAGCACAAAAGATTGAGAAAATACGGGCAGCCCGGGTGGCTCAGTGGTTTAGCGCCGCCTTCAGCCCAGGGTGTGATCCTGGAGATCTGGGATCGACTCCCTGCATGGAGCCTGCTTCTCCCTCTGCCCTGTCTCTGCCTCTCTCTGTGTGTCTCTCATGAGTAAATAAATAAAATCTTAAAAAAAAAAAAAAAAGATTGAAAAAACACTTCCTCAGTATTCAACTGTTATTCAAATCAGGAATGTAGTCACTCATGTCATTGAAAAATGAGTAAAGTTCCAACATACTTACCTTGTTTCCCTTTCATCTTATTCATTAATATAAAATATTAGCCAACATTCATGTCAGAAATATTCTTATTAATTGCAGGCATAGTTTGGTTATGGATACAAGAGTTTGGCAAAAATCAGACTATCTGAGAATTAATTGGTTATGTGGAATTTACAATAAAGTTATATATTTTATTATCTATAAATTGTATTTATACATTCTGTATATCAGTTAAATTTTAATAAGCTTGTATGCATATATAAAATTCTGTACATATAAACAGATCTATGTTTATTTATATCTATGTATAGATAGATATAGATCGACATGCACTCTTTCCCCCAGAGAGGCAACTATTACTTATTTATGAGCATACTATACTATAAAACCCAATCTTTGCCCTCAAACAGATAAATCCAAGTTCACATAAAACAAATATATTTTTTGTATGACTATAGCAAATACTGTAAGAGGGCATAATAAAGAAAGCAAATGGTTGGGGGTTCAAATCAGAAAAGGAGAGAGGAGGAGGAGAGAGGAATCAAGGGAGACAGAGAAAGGGTAAGAGAGAGAGAACATCAAGTATGATCACTGTGTGATCCTTCCTACTTAATGTGTATGAGGATGATGACTTTTTTGATGGATCTTTAAGGATAAGTGAGAACATTTAGGCAAAACAGGACATTCTAAATAAAGAGAAAGACTTGATCAGAGCCACCAGGGTGTGAAGCAATATCTTCTGTATCCATGAAGTTTCTTTTTATTACAAGGAACAGAAACTGACTTTGCCCAAGTTAAGTAAAAAGAACTGAATCTGCCAGCGAATCTCCAGAAGAGCTGAGGATAAGAATGAGAGAAACCCGCAACAGTGCCCCAAATCATGTCACAAAATAGTCTCAACACATTTGGCATGGCAGTATACTGCTGCAACAGGCACCATTGCCTGCAACTAGATCTTGTATGACCTATGGCTCTTAGAGCTCTCCGTGATTTCTCCCTCCTCTGAAGGACAGGGTGGGTATCAAATTGGTGAATCCTGAGTCATAGTCTAATCTTTGGTGCCCCAGTGACCTGGGAAAGCAAGCCAATTTCAACTTCATTAAAAGGAGATAGAATCTCTTCCCCATAGAGTTTCTTGGGGCAGGAAGTTCACCCAGCACAAGAAGTTTTCAGATTCAGATAGGGGAAAAAAAAAAATCCACTTGGTATTATTTTCAGTTCAATTGGATAACCATTTATTAAACATTCTATTTGCTAAGAACTGTGGTAGGTATTGGGGATTCCAATGAATGAGGCATCCCATGAATTCAAGGTCCTTACTTTTAGGAGCAGAAATAGACATATACATAAGTAAAAAGAATGATGTATGATCAGCTTTATAGATAAAGAAGTGAGGTAGTCTGGGCTTTGGAGACTGTCAGGGAAATAAACAAAAGAAGGCAAATGAAATAAGCCTTAAAGGGTGAGTAGATTATTGATTTGCAAAGAAGATAGGGACCTTCCAATCACATTCACACTTCAAGTAGTCCCATTTGGGGAGAATAAGGTGAGACTATGCTAGAATATGAGGATTATGTGAAGGAATAAAAAAAAGAGGCATGGAACGTTTTTGGACAACAGATACAACATGATCAGAATGTGTAACATGAACTCTAATAAAGTATTTCAGCACTTGTATAAAATGCAGCAATAACAGAAATGAGACCATTACCACATTCCAAACCAATATGGCAAACAAAAGCCAACGAGGGCCTGAGCTTGGGTGGTGGCCGAGAAATGAAGAGGAAAACAAGGTTGCAAGAAGTACTGTGGATTTGGAGGGATTTGGCAATTCACTGTCCCTTCAGTTGAGAAGGGACAAATTTAACCTTGCTGCTTTTGTACCAGGAGGTCAAGTGCCTGCCCTAATGCCTCATCTGCTCTAGGCATGTCTGTGTCTCCACATTTGCCCACCCGTCCAACTGATGTTTCATTTATAACAGAGCTCAGGTGTTCGCCCTTTGTGCAAACACTGTAGCTCCGTAAACTTCAGAATGGCCTTGATCAATTTTGTCACATCCCTTTTATGAAGTAGAATGATTGTTTGCTTAGCTGCCAGGCTCAGAAAGCGCAGTTCCTCTGTTTTTCCTACAAGGTTTCATTGATCAAGTGATAGCCTTTCCTGAACTGTACACTCAGGCATATCCTATGAGGCTCTGTGGTGGTTCTTCCATCCAACAGGACCCAATAAGGGCCTTCAGGGTTTTGAGATGAATTTCTTTTATATTATATTTGATAAGGCTTATCTTTCCCAAAATATAAATGGCATATTCTTTGATAAATGGACTGAAATGTAACCTAATTTAATTAAAATTCCATGGGCAATAACTGACTGGCAGTTCTGGGGTTTTTATCTGTTTGTTCTGCAGATATCACACATAATAATTTCTAAATAACTAAATTACAGCTGTTTTGAATAGAAATCTAACTGTAACAATCATGCAAGGGCTGGCTCTTTTCTCCATAGATGAAAACCTGTTAATTTTCCTGTTTTCTTCTCTACAGATAGTGAGGCCATGAAGTTTAAACAGAAATGTAATCCTTTCAGGTCTCACTAGTCTCCAAATCAGAGACTGTACTTGCCTTCAATTATTTATTACTTATAGCTTCTTTTTACTCTTTGTATGTATTAAGAGGTATAGTTTTCTTATAAAACTACATATTATTCTGCTTGGAAACCACAACTTTGGTGTAAATCAATTCAAGTAACTCTCCTAGAGCTCAGATACCCTAAGATCACCAGAGGGCTCTGTCCCACAGAGACTCAGTCCAACCATGGCAAGGTATCTGAGGAGCTGCAGAATCATGGCAATGGCAAAGCTGTCTTAAACACACAGCACTACAGATACAGTATTCCAATAGGAATTACAACAAAACAAAATCTAGAAAGATTCTCTAGTGAATATTCACTTGGAATAAATAAATAAAAATGTCCTGGCAACGACAGCTACATTGACTCCAGCCATGATTCAATGATTACAAAAGTGGTTTCCTTACTCTAAGTATTGGATTTATGTCTGAATATACTGATCCGCTGCAATGCTGAAGTATGGCCAAAATTGTGAAAATAACAATGAGAATACTTGCTTTTGGAGAAAAGCATGAAAGAGCATTGTGTTTAATTTCTGAGATTGTTTTGTCCTCTCTGCTTAGTTCTGTTCCCTCGGAACTTTGGTTCCCAGTTGTCACAGTACATTTATTGAAGAGTCTAATCTTTCTGTCTTGTTTTCCACTGGTCTATGTGTTATATGTCAAGTTTGCATTTATGTGTACAATTTCTTTTATTCTCTGGAAAGTTGTAGAAGATGAAACTTTTCTGTTTCTCAAGATAGATGGAACATATCCATAAAGCTGTCTGGTCTTGGTGTTTGCTTCGTGGGCAGATAAACAACTACTCATTAAATATCTGTGGTAGTTACAGAATTGTTCAAGGTTGTCACTTGAATAAATTTTTCATGAGTTTTAATGGCCTTATCTTTTAATCTCTTTTCTATTTCCAGCTCTTTGTCACTCTTGGATGTTGTATAAGTTTTCTCTTCTAGTTCTTTCCTTCTCTCCTCAATTGTTATTCCTCAATTGTTATTCTTCTTTAAAACCACATGTTTTGTAATTTTAACAAAATATTTGTGGAAGTATAATGTGCACAGTTCATAAGTGTACAGTTTCGTGAATCTTTAAAGTATGGACACACCAGTGTAACCACAGTCTACAACAACTACTGCAAGAAATTATTACAGACTCCTACACA